TCTTTAGACAGGATTAACCCATCAGTACTATAAAGTACTGTTATCAAAGGGGTCCTGTAAGATTTAAAAAGCATTAGTGTGGATGGACAGGGTGCAAAGAAAACCAACTCTTAAGCTTGCACTTCGGGCAAGCTGTGTTCGTATGCATGATGTGCTAGCCCAAAAGTCGCTCTTGTTAACCCCTACTAACATGATTTTAAAATAAATTTGAAATCAAATTAATACAATAATTATATCTCTTGCAGTGCTTCTGTAATTTGAATTTGCTCAAAAAATTTCCCCAAAAAACTTTACTTGCCCATCAGGCAAGCAAAGGACAGAATCCCCTAGCACAACTGCGAAACCTGCTGACCCCAGACTATCAGAAATGACTTTCTTTGCACACTGATGAGTCTCTAAGGACGTTTGTGTTAATTGTTTCTGTGCATCCTTACTGCACATGCAAATTCACATGCCACATCCTGCATGAAGTAATAAAACGAATAATGATAGGGCAGATGGCCATCGCTACAGCTTTGCCTGGATTTAATGATCTTGGACATTCAGTGACCCCTATTTTTCTTTTGATAAATCAATTTCTCTACAGATTTTCTACTTTTAGCGAAAAAATGAAGAAAATCTATCGACTAGAAGTCTGAGTTTTTTTGCAAAATGCACCATGAATTCTTTTCTTTTGTAGCTCTATGTTTATCTGTGCGATGGTTTCAAATGCCTCTGGAAGGGTTAAGTTTTGTGAAAACGTTGGTAACATTTGAAATTATTTATGCAGCAGACCCACTTCCACAAAATATCACTAAGTTCGTTGGCGTCTGTTGACTCACCTTCGATATTTTTAACTATAAATCCGTGTACACCATGCTGAATAACATGCGCCAATGTTTCAAAATCAGGGTAGTTCTCCACTTGCTTTTTTACTGGAACAAAGTCGGTGACCCTCAATTTTTTTTTGCATTTCTGACACAAGTAATTCATTATCTGACTGCAGTAAAAATTTTAAAAAA